AGAGCGGTTTTCATGGCCCAGCGCCTGGGGGCAGGAGGTGCTTTGGGTTGGGGTCTCCCCTGCCCTCCTTGCCAGTGAGAAACCTGTGGGCTGTGTCTTGGAGCGGGCAGGACAGACAAGTGAGGAGAGACGTGAACCCTGGATCTGTCCTCCCAGGCGGGCGCAGGCGTAACGGCCTCCGAGCCTGCCGCGCGGGCGACCGTAACGCTGTCGTTTTGCATTGCAGCCCAGCCTCCCTTCACCATGTGCTTCCGCGTCAAGTTTTACCCCACCGACCCCGCCGCCCTGAAGGAGGAGATCACCAGGTAAGGCGGATGGCTGCGCTCGAGGGGACCGGCCGGGTCCGTGCAGCCTGGCTCTGCGCTCACCCGGGCCTTGGAGGAGGGTTAGGTGTAATGCAGGACCCGGGAGTGAGGGGCACGGCTTGTGAATCAGACCTTCCTAGACGGACCTGGGGTCTGACCCAGGAAACGGCAGCTCTTCTGCATGTGAGCTCTAGCAATGCCCACCCGATGCCAGCTTTCTCTGGGCAGGACCAGCCAGCCGCCTCGCCGTGTGGTTACAGGAGCATGAAAAGCCCTCCGCTGCACTTGCCGTGTATCCTGCTGGCCTTCAGTGTCGAACCGGCTGCCGGTGCTCATAAGCTTTTGATTTAATCCCACTAATGAACGTGCACGGCAGCCTGCTCGGAAGACTGGTCTAACCCTCGGCTCCTTGCAGCTCTCCGACATCTCCCCCATCCTGGCTGCAATGCTTCGGGCTTGTTCGCCTCCGGAAATCCCCGTTATTCAGGGGGCTCAAGCAGAAGCGGGAGCTGGAACATGAGGGGGGAGTGGAAAATGCTCTTTCCTCCTTAAAAAAGCATCTTGGCGCTGTTCCAATCAGTCGGCAGAGCTGCCGGGGTGATCCCCTCCAGAGCAGGGGGTCGGGGAGGGGTGCAGGGTCGGGATCGGACCCAGCATGCCAGGATCTGCACCACATGCAAGGACCAAACTCTGGGGTCCTTGTGCTGCCTCCGCCTGGTCCCACCTATGACTATTAGACTCCACGGGCCCCGCGCCCTCTGCCCAGCACCATGCACTGGGATCGGGCCACATGCATGGGGCCGTGGCCTGCGGGGCTCCCTGCAGACCCGTGGGGAGCCCTGCAGCCTGGACCACGTGGCACAGGGGGCTGCATCTGCCCCACGGGCCAGGGGTTGAGTGCCCCTGCTCTAGACATAAGTGAATGGGGGCCTGACCCACAGCGCGTCCACCCCGCTGCCTCCCTGCCCCGAGCAGGGCACAGGGCACAGGGCAGGGGATGTGCAGCGGCTCCGCTGTCAGAAAGGGCACGGGGGAGACGTGCGTGGGTGACTTTCGATGCTGAGCTGCTGACTCCTTGCAGGGACTTCTCTGAGAAACAGGCTCCTTTCAAAACTCGCTTGCAAACCTCCGATGTGCACAGGTCAGAGGCCAGGCCAGTTGGTGATGGCTTTCACGCTCTCCGGCCACTTCTGGTGCCTAGTGATGCTTATAAGGCCAGTAGCCTTTTGGACTCGGTTATAGGTGCTCCGGCCACAGCCCAGCCCTCGGTCAGGGTAGGCGCTGAGATGCAGGGAGCACGCGTTGCTCCCCTCCCAGGCAGGCTCTGCCAAAAGGAGTCAGCCACATGCACCATCCACGTGGGGACCACGATGCAAGTGCCACGACACCCTGCCAGGGTTTAACGAGGGGATCCTGCACCTAACCCTTGTGCACCGGAGCTGCAATCAAGCAGGGCAGCTAACAGGGGACCTGTCCCAGGGAGAGACGATGCAGATACATCAGAAGTGTCTTGGAGAGCCGCGTGGCTCTGCTCAGACATACCCAAGACTCGTAGGAGCAGCGTCGTGCCGTGGGCCCCAGCCCATCCAAAGATACTCGACCATAAAGGCTCCCTCTCTCAGACATATCCCGCCTTGAGCCTGAGAGGTAAAGGATGGACCCCTTCTCCTGCCTGTCTTCTGCCAGATGTTCGGTTTAGGACCATTCGCCGTCCTCTTAAAACAGCTGCACTTGACCCGATCTCCGCTGCCCCTTCAAGCAGACGGCGCCCGACTCTGCACCAAAGCCTCCTGCCCCCGGGGTGGCTCAGAAAGGGAGATGTCACATTTTGAATGCTGAACAGACAGTGCAGGTTTGCTTTAGAAAGCCCACTCAAATGGCAAGACTTAGGGCAGAAGGGAGAGAAGCTTGCCCTAAACGCTGGGATAAAATGTCGTAGACCCTGTGAAAACCTGTTGGGAAGAAACTCAGCGTTTGACTATGAAAGGCTGGGCGTGAAGAGGGCGGAAGGACCTGGAGGGAGCCGCGAACGCTGCTTTGGGGCTGGAGAGGGGAAGCTCCTCAGCGAGGATACCGACGTCATCACGCGCGCCCTCGCAGGCTGCATGCGCCGCCGCGCGTGGCTCCGTTCGCAGACACTGCTGGCGAAGGGGAGAGGGACCGCGCCGAGCTAGACGCGCTGCCCCGGCACTGGATGCGCTCACGCCGCTGTTCTCCGGGGATGGGAGGGAGGACCTGCCAACCCGACTCAATTTGTGAGCAACACAAATGTCGAGCCCGGAGAGCTGAGGTTTCCACCAGCCCTGACAAGTGTCAGAGGGGGTTCAACCTCCCTTAGAGGCACTGGGTGCCGGCTGCAGCCCAGGCTGGGGATGGGGACTGGTCTCCCGCTGGGACCAAAGCCGTGCGGGTCTTGCCCCTCCGCTCAGATCAGCCCGATGCCAGATTTGGTACAGACTGTGAGGTTTGCCTTCCCCTCCCCATGCCTGCCGGCTAAAAGGCACGTGCACCTGCTACCAAGTCAAGGAAGGATCCCTCGCTCCCAGCGCCCGCCTGCAAAACCAATGCAGCTGTCAGCACCGTGCCGCCGGGCAGCACAGGTGCGAGAGCCTGGCCTTCTCGTCTGGCCTGCTCCAGCGCGGCTGCGCAGACAGACAGATGAGCCGGGGCAGGCAGAGCTCTCTGCAGCCATTTGGACTCTTCCCAGGCAATAAATGTAGCCCCAAGACTTTGATTAATTCTCACTGTCATTCGTTAAGGTAACAAATGGCTACTGCTCTCTCCCGATGCCGCAGAGCGGGAGTGGAGGAGGAGGAGAGGGGAGGGGAGGTACAGCACCGTGTCGGGTTTATGAAAGAGCAGCTTGGCTTTGTCTAGACGCCGTCGGGGTTGGGAGCATCGAGGACAGCGGTCCTCAGCCAGGGTGCCACGGCCCGGCAGGGTGCCTGGGGATCCTTGCAAGGGTGCCACGCAGTGTTAGATGTGCAAACGTGACTCGCGTGATAAACCCAGAGGTTTCAAACAGAGAGTCAAAAACATGCAGCCCTGTTCTGAGTTCAGAAAAATGGCATGAGTAGTTTTGTGCAGCAAAAAAACAAATGAAAACTAAGAGCTGGTCTTATCTGCGCCCTGCCTTGGGTCTATCCCAGGGGTGCCTCGAGTCTAAAAAGTGTGAGCCCCGCTGGGCGAGGGGGGATGAAATATCCTTGCAGCCCAGGCCCGGTTCAGTCTCCCGTTCAGCATCTGCTCTCTGCCTCCGTGCGATGGAGGAGGCTGGGCAAGATGGGCCTGACCCAGGAACCGGCGGCTCTTACATCCTCGAGCCAAATGCAGAGACCGGGCAGAGGTGTTTCCACCGCAGCACACGCTGCCCAAGGTGTCGTTCCTCTTTCCGATGGAACAAATTACAGTCGGATCTCAATGTCCTAACCGACGGGGCAAAGGAGGCTCCGAAAATCGCTGGACTGGGCAAGGGGGAAACTTGCTCTACTTTCTTTGGGCCTTTTCTTAGCAAATTTGCCTGTTCATTCGTGGTCCTAGTGCCTGGGCAGGCGTGGACAGTCCCCATCCTGATGTGATGCTGGGGATGCAGAGCATCCTTAGCCGGCCAGCACTTGATAGATCGCCTCTCTGGATTCAGGCCTGGGCTCCTCTCAAAGCCAGGGGCCACGGTGGAGTGAAACCTGGAAAAGGTGTCTGCTTTGCTGTCTGGGGTGACCCAGAATTACAGCGGGCTGCCGCCGGGGCATCTCTTAGCAGCGACGTGGGCGAGCAGCCGTGGTCTCAGGCAGATGGGCCTCGTCTCTGCGAAGCTGCATTTGGTCACTCTTATAAGATAGCTGTTTGCAGACTCGGGGAAAGAAACCAGATTGATCACAAGGTCAGTGCCTACTTGGTGGAAAACAGGCTCTGGGGGTGTCTGCACTTGAACGACGGGTCTTCCGGGCAAAGACAACTGGGAAGCTGGCCAGTTAAAGTGCTGTCACGTGCGCTGCCCCCATTTCAGACCTAGCCCTCGGAGTCTGGAAGAGTTTTCTGCCCTGCCTGTATGTATTTTAGTATTTTTGGGAGGAGTCTGTGACCTTTATTCTACGTCCCGGTTTCCCAATCCACGGTTAGTGAAAGCAGTCAAGCGCTGGACACGGGTGACAAACTTCTCTAGGTTTCTCTTTAGAGCGATGTGTATGAAAACAGGAAAAAATGGGGAATGAGGCCAGAGTAGGGGAAGATCAGGAGGTGTGCTCATGTCCCAATGCTGTACAAAATGCACAGGAGGTTGACTTGCAATGGAGAGCCAACAACGTGAGTCCTTATCTAAGAGGCTAGGAAAGTTAAGACGCTGACTACGTGGCCAGCTCTCTGCCTGCTAGCTAGCTCAGGTACCAGCAGATTAAAACAAAACCAGTCGGTCACAAACAGAGCCTATTTTACTATAACTGGAGGTCTGGGACGCTGGCTTTTCTGCTGCTACCGGAACGTGCCCTGGAGTCAACTTCCCCGAACGCGATTTGCTTTCACATTTGAAGCACATCGGGGAAGAGCCGAAGCAGTGTCAGGCCCTAGCTGCCAGGCCGACGAGCCTCCTTGTTTTGCAGAAAAGACGTGCATTTGGTTTGCAGATGATATGTTAACCATGCGGTGATTAGGCCTTAATTTAAATGTGAAATGGCCAATGACATCCGTCTGAATAGCAATTGCTATTATGCGGGCATTAAACCATGCATACAATATGCTAATTATATGTCTTTTCTATAATCCACGATTAGCGAAACATCTGCAGCTCTCAAGTATAATAAGGAAACTGGAAAAAAACTATTCAGCTTTCACTTCTCGAGGGTGGAAACTTGATCGATGGGGGTCATCACAGACAGGCCTGTTGCAAACATACAGCAGGAAGAAAAAGACAGCAGCACTTTGCATTACTTCAGGTCTGCAGCCAGAACGTCCCTGGACTATTTCCAAGATAATGTGACTGCATATTTCAGTGACAGTTTTCCCTC